TATTGTTCAGGACACTCTTGCAGACCCGCCAATAATCCTTGGAGCCAAATTTGCGAGATGCAATACGTTCCTTCATCCGAGCAGCAAATATTGACTTAGCTTTGTTGAGGACACGCTTACACTCGTTATGGGTAGAGGCAAAGAGACATCTATTGCAGTCTGACATGTCGCTACGAAATATGTGAAAGAAGTGATTCCTATGGGCAATGGCGGCTGAGCAAGCAGCGGAGAACCAAGGGGAGGAGTGCAACTTGACCTTAAATTTCCTAGAGGGGATGAAAGCGTCGATTCCAGCTTTAACCCAGGATGAGACCTCGGAAGCACATTCTTGGACAGGGAGTGTAAAGACAGCATCCCAGGGGACATCGCGGAGGAAGTCACGGAATGAGTCCCAATCCGCTCGTTGATAGTAGAACAAGGTTCTAGTGATGGGAGGTTCTTTGCGGGGTGTGGAGTTGAAGGAAATGTTGACAGATACCACGGCGTGATCGGAGTTACCAAGCGGGCAGAGCTGTGTGGCACTACAAGATTCGGGGATGGAGGTAAAACACAAATCGAGAAGAGAGGCCTTACCTGCCAGGTTGAGGGCAAAACGCAAGGGGAAGTCAACTATCTGCGTGAGGGATTGAGAAATTGAGAAGTTAAGTGTTTGAATGCCAGCCCAGTCAGTAGTAGCATTCTCGAGCCACCAAACACGAATATGTGAGCAAACGGGTGGAGAGAGAGGCCCTTGTCTATGCTGTCAGATATGCTATCTAGTATCCCACAGTCTTGAGAGGATGGAGAGCGATAGAGGAAGAAGAGATAGCTTACGGCATTGAGGAGAGATAGTCGGAGACACATGTACAAAAGGTCTGGCGATTCGAGAGACAACTCTCTGGCCAGGGGGAGATGGTCCTTGACATAGACATCAAGGCCATGCATGTGGGTTAGAGAGTCTTTCCTGAGGAGAGGAAGGTAGCCGGGGATCGAGAGATCAGAGGAGGGAATAGACGAGACAAGGTTTGTCTCACACAGAGCCAGTATATCCGGGCAGTTTGCAGTGAGGAAAGATTCCATACTGCAGAAGTTTGTTCTAATGCCACGGATATTGGAGAATGAAATGTTGAGGGGTTTAGGTTTACTTTTTTGGTTCATTTGAGTCTTCATGTGGAGTAATTGTTGGAAGATGAGAAGGCCTGAAGTAAGAGAAGCAGATGGTTATCAACCGCAACATGAGCAGAGAGGAGTTGGCACAGCCTGCATCATAATGTGGCCTCAGGGTTGCCCACTGGAGGTGATTGCAGGGACACCGTTCCATGCATGTCATGGCACTACAAACACCCTGGTATTATACAACTGTTGATCAGAGCGGCCGCTCAAGATGCTACGCAAGAGATAGGGCTTCTAACTACCAGTCGGAAACAGCAACCAGTGAACTGTCAACCGTGTACCCTCAAAATGAAGAGGCAATGCCACAGACTGCGCACGTCACGGGAGAAACACATCAGTACTAGTACAGAGGCCAGAGAGAGAGAGAGAGTACCGGGAACTCCTTCTTAGACAGGAAACAAGGTGTGAGCCTCTGCGCATGTCCAGGGGAAGTGGGAGGAGTGTCGACTGGGTGGTAGGAGGGTCTACCTACTCTTATTACATATAACACATACAACAACGACAAAAGACAAACAGAGGGATAAGGGCGGGGAAGTAGTTGACAGTGCCCAGGCTGACACTAGATGTGTTCAGGGGGATAGGATGGAATTTATTCGTATTTTATACTTACACAACACTAAGTTTTAACTTAGTATAAGTCCCATTGTGCTATTCTAAAGAGAGAAATGAAAAAATATGATCATCCACCTTTTTGCGGATATGGCATAAATGCTAGCTCACTTGTGGCAGAGGTTGATATTGATAGTCCGCAAGCATTCTGATGTTCTCCAGTGGGTGTTCCACGTTAGTACATTTTATCAAGCAAAAGACAAGACCACCGGACCAAAAGAATACTGAAGACATGCTAACGCCTGGTGAAGAGACATTTTTCCCTTTTTTCGAGGTGGGGGGGGAGGATTTCCAACTACACAAACATAGTGTTATAAGTTAGGTTAGAACAAGTATCAATGTTAAATTAGTCGCAAAGAGCGGGGGGAGACCAAGCAAGAATAGATAAATAAAATAAACACAGTTGAATCTGAAACAATTTTATCTGGAGCTCATTTCAGAGGTCGGAAGATGGTGAAGAAATATCTTCAGCTATTGATTTTGAACCCATTTTACAAGGGAATTCAGAAAAGTTTTCTGTTCAACCAAACTCTTGAAAATAAAAAAATTTAGACAGCAGCATCTTGTGTTTATGGCATCACCAAATATTTATCTCCCCTCAAACCTATTTATTAACCTGACTTGAATAAGATTTGTATCTGTTTTTTACTGATAGTTCACCCAATACAAGGCCCAAGGGCCACTCAAGGTAGAGGATTACTGAATGAGATTTTATAAAAGGAAGAGGTAAGTGAGTATTATAAGGATGAGTAGGATAGATATTAGTTGACCTTGGACTTAAAGAGGCCAAGATTGTACTTCCCAGGGAAGCATCCTCTCAGGAGTTTGTTCCATAAAGTAACAGTTCTGAGGAAGGAGCTGTCTGAGAGGAACTTGCTTTTTATCAAAGGAACATGAGGATAGGGATGGTTTGCCACTGTGATCATGGTGGAGGATCCTAGCTGTGAAAGACTAAACTGGTAGGACTAAGTGATGTAACCCATCTGAACTTCTGTCATAGTAATAATGATGTAGTAGTGAAAGGCTGGTTAGGTTTCACCTGTGGGATAAGTGTTGCGAGTGGAGAATAATTCATCTATAAGGCATAAGCACTTTCTTTTAATACACTCACATTTCTCTCTACACCCTCACTTCTCAGGAGGAAAATTTCTATTTAGTGATTCAAATCAAATCAAAATTTGAAATAGATGAATTCTAAGCCCTGTAACATTACTTAATTATAAGAAGAATAAAAATAAAATATTTACTATATCATATTTATAGAAGTATATTTTTAATACTATTATTTGTGAATGTAAGTATATTTATCAAAGATAAATGTTTTTGAGATCAACACTTTTTTTATAAGATAGTAGTAAATCATTTTTATGGCTTGATTTGTCTTTATGCCACATTTTTGATTGGGCTTTTCTTTTTTTTTCTTCTTTTTTTCTTCTTTTTTTTCTTTTTTTTTTCTCTCTAGATATTACTATTGACAACCCTTTCTCTAACTAAGGAGTTCTCTTTTTTCCATACAGTAACAATGTATCAGAAAGTGAACAAAGCTGATCTGACATCTCAGCTTCAGTCACTTTCCCACCATGGTAACATAGTTTCCCTGTACTTTTTTTTTATAAATATTTTCATTAAAATTGTTCTGATGAGCTTTACTCTTTTTACATAGATTTTATGAATTTAAGCACAGTACTAGAATGGCCGAAAGGTCTCATCCTTTTACATCAGAAATGGCTAGATGTAACTGTAAATTCTATGTTAACAGTTTCTTCTATCACAAATCTTGCTTGTGTAAGTCGCTCCCAGACTCTTGCTTTGCAGTCAATTTTGATCTTCAAAAATTTTAAAGCAGTATCAGGCATTATCTTCTATCTTAATGTTCTTTTATTGTTCGTTCTCCTTAATAATGATTTTTTTTTTCTCACATTTTCTCACACTCAATACCTGCCACCTGCCTTGGATTTTAGTAGCTTTATTGCCTTGCTTGGGTTAAGATTATTAAAAATAAAATCTCCTGAGAGACTACTTATATGAAAGTTTAAGCATCTAATTAGTATCATCTCTTCCTCCTCCTAATAGCCATTTCCTTAATCCAGAATTGAGAATTGTTCTTTTTTTTTTCTTTTTTTTTTTTGTGCTATTAATTTAAGAAATTAATTTAAACATGAAGCATTCTCACCATATTTTATATGTTTTTGTTTTCCATTTCAAATTTTGTAACTCATTTAGTGTGAAATAAACTGTTCACTTTTGTTATTGATTGCTTATAAAGTCTTATCTATTCTTGCACATGTTCCATTGGGAAAAGTCTATTGGGAATTTGACCAAGATTATTGACTAGGCAAACAAGGATAGGAGGTGCATCTTTATGAAAAGTCATAAAAATACCTGCTTTATTGATTACTCACCTTAATCTGTTTATGTTGATGACTACTTATGTTCTTGTTTCCCATTTGAGCACTCTAGAGAAAGGGTAATTTTAAAAAACAATGGCTGCTTCTGCTATCAATGTATCGTTCTTCAGTTATGAATTGAGCGCTATTGACTACTGGCATTTGTATACATCAAGTATATAATATGTTAAAAAATTTCCCTTTTCCTACTGTGTGCTGATAGCACAGGGATAGAATCTCTGACTGATGCCAAATCAGTTGAGTTTCAATCCCAGCTTGAAGCAATTGGATATCTAACCACACTGATGAGCTATAATACAGTTAAACAAGCTTGTATGTGGATCATTTTTTATATATATATATATATATATATATATTATATCAAATTGCTCATAGAAATGATATTTGGCATAGAACTTTTTTTTTCTGTGAGAAACCATATTCATGAAATAAATGGAAATATTACATCCCAAAAAGGAATTGACTGTAGTCAGGATCATTGAGCCAGTGTGAACAATCCTTTCCTTAGCTGTGCTTTGCCAGGACTACATACAGTTTTGAATTAGGAGTTTTCCTTCTCCTAGACCAAGGCTATAGAATGGTAGGGAGAGTTGGATTCATGCTGTTCCCAAGGGTATTAGCATGTAAGTGAATGTAATGAACTCGACTGGAATTTGAACTCTGCTATCCAATTCCTCAATTTGAGCCACAATCTACCATGCCTCCTAAAAGAACAACATAAATTGAAAGTGTAATCTTTTGTGTTTCCTCGAGGAACAGGTAAACCATTAATTATATTTGCCTAGTTTTTTCTTTTATGACTCACCATCAAATCTGCTCTTTTGCTTACAGATTTTCAAGAACCTTATGCCATTGTTGTGCTTCTCCAGAATGACTTAGTTGTGGTAGACCTTACAGTTCAAGGGTAAGTCTAACTTAACCAATGTCTTTTGTCATTTTTTCTTTAGTGTTTTTCATGATCTTCAGGCAATGAAATCTGTTTTTCTTTTTTTCTTTTTTTCTTTTTTTATGGCTTTTCACACCTTTTTATATTATATAACTCAAATACATACTTTTGTATCCAATTGAATGGATAAATTTAAATCCTTCTAAAAAATGTATTCATATTTAGAATGAGAAGAGAAGGATAACCTCATTGTTATGTAATGTACATCAATATATGTAGCCTGATGATAAAAAAAAGTATTTATTTTGCAACATAATCTCTTCCTTTGTCACTTAACTCTGATGCTTTTCCATTGATTGTATAGTTTTAAAATTATACACTATGAAAATTCCAGATCAAAATTCAGTCAGTCTACAGACTTATTGATCCACATTTGTAAAACAAGAGAAAATGATTGTCTGCTTACTTTCTATATTCCACCATTGAAAAAGGCATGAACCTGGCAATTTCTTCTCTAACTAGATCACCTTAAAATCAAAAAAGTCTAGGTTGGTGTTTCTTCACCTTTTTTTTTTTTTTTCTACTGCGACCCACAGCAAGAACCTCATTTTGCATTGCGACCCATTATACCTACATGTAATAAATCAAAGACAAACTCTGTTTACTTGGTTCATTCATAGAATTTTTATTTCTTATGATCTGCACATACTGGAATTGCATTTATCTATTTGTAGGAATATAAAATTATAAGAAAAACAAATTTAAAGGAAATTCAGACACAAAGGAAAGGTAAAATAAATAATATTTGAAAAAAAAATGTCATTTAATGAGATGGATGTGCTTGTTTGTTCATAAGCAGCTGATTCCAATTGGAATTCCAATTGCACACCTTTGTAGCTAAGTTTTGGTGCTAGGTCTCTTTGTGAGAGAGAACTGATATCACTCAGTCCACAATGAGTTTGACAAACAAGTTCCATAAACTCAATGAGAACACACACACATATAAAATACAAGCTTACCTTGGTAAAAGAACTAGTGATGATTTATGACAAGTTAAAAAAATCTTCTTTTAAATATGTATGACAGAATGCTATTCCTCCTTTTTTTAAATCTATATTAGAAATTGAAACTGAGAAGGATTTCTCCAGAAAGAATCTAGAACATATATATATGATGAATATATAAATGAAACAAGCAAAATAATAAAAATAATTTGTTCACTTTATCCTTAGCTAATATCTTTTATGGATATATTACTAATGCATCTGTATTTAATGATCTAATTTGTAACAGTGTTAATTTCATTTTCTGTATTTCTCCTGCTGATTCATAGTGATTTGGTTTTATATGGATAGAATTTTTCAAAATGGTCAGTTTGAAAATTAGTTAAATTATGGAAACTTCTTAAATCATTTGAAATTATAATTATTTACAGATGAGCATATCAGCATTTTATGATAGGGTGTTTTAGCAATTTGAACTAGGAATCTTTTTTTTTTTTTCCATTTCTGATCTTCCACATATTTAATATGGTTTCCTTCTATAAGGAAATAATTCTTCTATGTGCAGTGTTCCTTCAGGGCATTGGCAATCATGGCTCTCCACAGAAAGACGGTAGGACTGAGGAGAGAGCCTTGGAAGATCTACATTGATTCTACTTCATGTACTGTCCCCTGTTAGTAGGCAATCACGGCTCATCACAATTTCCTGTCCTTTGTAGCTCTTAATAAATTTTATCTTTTTGTTATCTCTCCTAAACCTTGTGCTGCCATCTATTTACTCAAACTCATTAGGTAAATTATGCATCATTTTTCTCTGTCCCTCTTGCCTTCAATCTGCCCTATGAGTATCAAATTTTCCAAACCCCTTTTTCCTCATTATGCGCCCTAGAAATTTCAACTATCTCTTCCTGATGTTAATTGTAAGTGTCCTTTTTGTTTCCATTTTCTCTAAAACTTCATCATTGTTCATATGTTCTGTCCATGGTATTCGCATCATCCTTTTGTAGAACAAAATTTTTTTTGCTTTAAGTCTCTTCTTAATTTGTGAGGAGATTGTTCAATATTTACTACTATAGAGTAGCAGTTCAGTACTCTTTTCTTTGTTTCTAACAAAATGTTTCTGTTTGTTAATACTTTGCTTAGCTTTTGGAAGGCATTTTTTTTACTATGCCAATGAGTCTTTGGATTCAGTGTCACATTTTCTGTCCTCTATTAAAACACTTTCCTGATATTTAAATTGTTGTATTTGTTTGATTTCAATATCTCCAATTTGTAATTTGCATGTTCGGCTCTTCTTTTTGCTAACAACCACACATTCTATCTTCTTATAATTAATGTTTAGTCCTTTCTTCTTGCTTTCCTTTACTACATTCTGTAGGATTTCTTGTAGTTTCCTTTCTGTGTCTGCTATCAACACTGTGTCATCTGCATATCTAATGTTGTTAAGATTGTGGCCACCAATAATGAATTCTGGTAGGACTTTTAATTCTCTCAGTATTGCCTCGCTTTATAGGTTGAATAAGTCTGGTGAGAAGACACATCCTTGTCTTACACCCTTTTCTATTTATGTATATCTACTGAACTTCTTTTCTATCCACATGCACAAAGTTTGCTGCCAGTATAGGTTCTGGATTATTCTAATATTGATTATTCTAGATCTATCCGAATTTCTAGGATAAGGAGTTATCATTATTTACGCTACTTACATTTGGATTATTGTCCTTTTTGTTGTTGTTGTTATCATGTTTCCACCATTGTGTTGTCCACCCTTCATCAGGTGTATATTGATGCGGATAGACTACAGGGAATTCTAAACCCTTTATTTAATCTATGGGGGTACTGTTCTTGTTCCACATCTCATGTCTAGTGATATCTCATCTAGTTTTTATTTTTTGTACTAAAAACATCCAAAAACGTTGTGATAACAACAAACATGAGGACAATAGTCTGAATGTAAATACTTCTGCTTTTTTATCATTTTTATTTTGAATTTCAAGTTGAAAAGAAAATGGGAATTAGAAAAAAAAAATACCAAAAACTCTTATCTCAAAGCTGAACTTGCTAAACAAGTGAGACTGAGTATCAAGTCTTAGTGAATTTAGGTCGACTAATGCATACAATACACATGTTCTAACATTCTTTTACTAAAGAAAGCTGAAAGAAAACATGATATACTCATTGCACAGGTTGTTATAACTTAGTGTGCTATAAATAAGAATAATTTGTTCATAAATAAATTTGTAGAGCATTTAAAATTGAGTTTAAATTTCTTGACAGTTGTTTTTCTTTTTCTATGTTCTATAATTATGTTTATTCTTTGCAGTTACCCTTGCTTTGAAAATCCCTATCCCATGGACATCCATGAGTCTCCTGTGACTGCCTGCCAATACTATGCAGACTGCCCTCCAGACCTCATACCTGCCTTCTATTCCGTTGGATCAAAGCAGAAAAAGACTGGCTTTAGCGATAATGTATGAACTTTTTATTTGACAAATCTATTAATTCTTCACTTTACACTTTCAAATAATTTTCTTTTTTACATTTAGGCATTTTAATAAAAGCTATATTATTCCTCTTGTGGGTAAACTGGAAAGATATTTTCATAGAAATGTCCTTTTTGAGACAGCTGATTTCTTTCAAGAAATCTTCCTACTCTGGATCATCTGATGGTGAATTGGATCTGGATTCAGGTGGTAAAAAACCATAAAAACATTGACTGTCCTCAAGCAGCTGATAAGAGATTTTGCTGTCACAGATTTTGCATATCTTGGTTCCAAGTGGTTTAGAAATTAAAGTATTTATATGAAGAGATTAAAGTTAATCATAGGAATTATAGAAAGAGGTTAAAATTATTTTTTACATATTTAATTTCTATCATAACTTCTATGATTGTAAAACTTTGTTTCTTTGCAGATTTTTGTTTTGAATTTATTTTTTAATTATTTCACCCCAAGCAAGGTGATAAAGCCACTAAGACACAATGGGTTATTGATAGTGAAAGAAACTGAGAAAATGTTATTGAGGAGAGAGGGACAATAAAAAAAACAGGATTCAAGGAGACAAAAGATGATTGACATTGCATTCTAATTTTTGAAGACTGTAGTTGACAGGAAAGCAAGAAGCTGGAAGAAATCTCCACAGGTGAGAAGTGCGATGGAATAAACTATTAGTTACATCTAGTAATTTCAACATTAACATGAGACCTAGCTGCTAATCTAGTACTGCACTTAAATTTGTGAAGTTGAGAAACCAAAGAGGAAAACTCATCAGAACAATTGCCATAGAAAATATAGAAAAGACACAGGGAAGCTACATTAAGGTGATGGGAAAATGACTGAAGCAGAAATGCCAGATCAGGACTGATAACAGCAGATTTTTCTTTGGAATTTGTCAAGAATCTCTAAATCTATAGCAGATCTTTTGTCATAGTTCTCAAACAATTTGTTGCTTCTAGATAAGAAAGTAATTAAAAACAGGCTTTTGTCAAATAACATTTTCTTAAAGTCTACTTACTTACTTAAATTCTTCAGTTTGGAAATTTTCTTGTGATGTATAATTCTTTCAAATTGATAAGTTTCAAAAAAGTAAAAAAAAAAAATTGAGTTGCATACAGAATAGACATTATTAAAACATAATATAAAAAAGGAGAAACAAACAAAACCACTGGGGGTGTTTGATACAAAAAAAAAGACAAAAAACAGAGAGAAGATCAAAGAGAAAAGGAAAGAAAAAAATTTGGAATACATTAACAGAGAAAATCCGTTCTGTTGATTCAAACAGCTTTTTTAAGACTGCTTGGGAAATAAAGTTGTCTGCTCTTATATCAGAGCTTAAAATTCTAGATCTTAATTGATTCCTTGATTGAGTTCTGAAAAATGAGGAGTGATAACCGGTCAACTCCTTTTTTTTTTCTTTCTTTTTCTCTTTCCTTTTCTCCCCCCTTTTTTTTTTTTGTCTTTGGCATTTTCATAGGAAACTACTTGAATGGTTTATTTGTTTTTCCTCTATTTTATCTTTTTTCCACTAATATCTGTCCTGTATGCAATTATTAAATTTTGTATATTCAACAAAATCTTTTTTATAGTTACTAAGAAAGTCATTTAAAATTTACATTTAGATTCTACTTTTTTCTTATTTTATTTGCTTCATATTTAATGATTGTCTTTGTTACATTTTTGATTTAGAAATATTTGAGTTTGATTCATTACTTCAATAAAGTTTTATATTTTTGACATTTTTAATCCTTTCGCAGTATCATTAAATTTGTTCATTTCATAATAGCTTGAAAAGCTAAAATTTCAGCTACACTCGCACTATTTAAATATAGTAGTCCACTCATAAAAGTAGGGAAAATTTGGGAGCTGGGGGTGTAATTTTTGTACATTTAATATTCTTTATACTTTCCTTAAGCTGTGACACTTGTCAAAAATTAAAAATATTGATTTGTGATTGATATAAGAAGGTCCTATTTATAATATCAATAGTGTCAACTCAGTCCCTGATTTTTACAGATTTACAGGCCTTAGGCTAAATAACTACTATTTAAAAATGTCAATTTTGAAAATATGCTCACATCATTGATATCTGCATAATTTTTTAATTTTCTGAATTTTTTTTAACTTGTTTGATTTTTGTATGGAATATTTTCAGAAGCATGTGCACAAGCATTTTAGGTAAATAACTAAAACCCATAACTCTGCAAAAGTCAGGGGTCAATTTAACACTGTATTGATATTATAAACAGGAACCCCTTTTAAATCAATAACAAATCAATATATTTTTTTTTATTCTGACAAGTGTTGATGTCTAAAGAAGATCCAAAAAATGCTAATCTGCTAAAATTATTTCGCAAGAAAAGTTTTTCTTTCTTTTTTTTTCTTTTTTTTTTTTTTTTTCTTTTTTTTCTTTTTTTTCTTTTTTTTTTTTTTTTTTTTTTTTTTTTTTTTTTTTTTTTTTTTTTTTTTTCTTTTTTTTTTTTTTTTTTTTTTTTTTCTTTTTTTTCTTTTTTTTTTAAATGAGTGGGGCCACTCTATTTAATTAGTGCAAGCTACATTATCAAAGACTTTCAAACACTGTAGACAGCTTTATTTAAACATAAAACTTTTATTGGAAGAGGTGTGACCAAATTTGGTGCTATTCATAAAAGATAAAATATATACAGAATTAAGAATATCTAAATATTTTGGTATTTGACAAATTAAGTGTATTAAATAAATTGAATTTAGTATTGTCTAAATTCACTACATATAAAAGAATAAGTAAAAAGTGCATATACATTAACTTATTCTTTTTATTACAGATACCATGTTGCTTGTAATAATGCTGTTAGAACATTTTCTTTAAGTTGAATAAGAATATCTAACTTGTAATTCTAATCATTTGTAAAAGTAATACTCATGAAAATATGAAGACAATATTTTAAATTTCTAAAAATAATATTGGAATTCATATCTTGTCAATAATAAATCCTAATAGAATCATATTGTAATGAGAACTCCTTGAGAGTTGATTTTAGTCATCAATCTTGTCCAAATTTCTTCAATGTACTATTTATCATCATTAATTCTTAAATGTTTTATTTTTGTTGCTTTTTATTACAACTCATCATTTTTTTTTCTATGACCATTAAGTAAGTAACATGGATTGGATCAGAAATAATTAACTGACAATCAGATTTGAACTCATATCCCATCTCCTTGGATAGCTTTTTATAGTAACTGGTAAAATGCTTTCTCAGTCATATTCTCAAGACTAATGATGTGAGTTCAAATCCTGTCAATGGTTACTTCTTTATTGTTTTATCCATGCTGCTTCCTTAATTTAGAAACATCTTCAGAGGTTTGCACTAAATATCAACAAAAATAACATGGAAGAAAATTATTCAAAAAATAATAATCATAAATTTTGAAAACAATTTTCAGGCTTCAAATTAATGTTTAGAATTCATTACTAAAAACAAATGTTCATAAATACCTCTTTTCTTATATTTCTTTCCTCTATGCCTTTTTCTTTTTCTATCAGTCCAATTTAAAAAAAAAATTTTCACTTGTTGTGGATAGCAAAATAGCTTGCCATCTAGTAATATTCAAAATAAATGACAGATACACTATAAGAGGGACTGTTGAAAAATTGTCAGCTTGACCAACTTCCCAAAATTAATATTCTGATCAATGAAATAAAAATTTAGTTAAGTGGGTTCGGTTGGACATGTGAACTTTTTAATACTCACTCATGTATGTATGTGTAATATATATATATATATATATATATATATATATATGCACGTGTGTGTGTGTAAAATTTAGATACAAGTAAAATATATATATATATATATATATATATATATATATATATATATATATATATATATACACATCTGTAAAAAGACAATATGAATAAAGACAAAAGGAAATTGATTTTGTTCTCTGGATTTTATCAAGGCAAATGTAAGGATTTTATTTTGTGACATGTATTTATAAACAGAAACTATAATTTACATTGATTTTTTATTAGCCTGTAGTATATTTCTGATTATTCTTAAATTAATGTCCATCAGAGAACTAAATGTATTGGCTAACAGGTTTCCCTTTTCTTGTGTGTATATATATATATATATATATATATATATATAATTTGTATTTAGTTCATGATTATCAAATAATTGTATATCCATTTCCACTGATGTTCCTTTACATTTATATCTTTGCAGGGTTGGCCTATTAAAGGGGGAGAATGGGGAACAACTACATGTAGCTACCCTGAAATCATTTTAACAGGGTAAGTTTCTTGCTGATATTTGCATTTTGTGTAATCTAAATTAAACCTATCTTGTGAAGTGTTTCAGTATATTAAATCATTTTTTTTTTAAATAAATGCTATTTGTAAAAATAATGATAAACACTGCAGTGATCCATTCAAAAGTCATTAATTCTTAAAGAATTACTTTGTTTCAGGTACAAAAATAAATTTAGCCGGTATAGTTCCCAACAAGAAATTAGCAATTAAATAAAGTAGTTAAGCTTTTCTTTTTCATGGGGGTTCCTTGTAGCCAAATTGGAAAAGGCACACTTGGCTTTAACACTTTAACATTCAACCCACCATAACCCACCACAATAGATGACTACATCATCACTTTGTGATGTAAGGGACATAACTTTATTATTCCAGGGAAGTAACTTTTATATTAAAGTTGAGATTAGAGAAAATTCAAAACTTCAATATATAACATTTTGTTAGATCTATAAAGGAAGCATTTGGTTAATGAAGCATTTTTTCTGTTTTGTGAGAAAAATTGATTTATTTTTCAGTATTTTCATTGATGTTGTCACTATCTAGTTGCTTCAGAAAGTTCCTTTTAGTATTTTCAAATTCCTATTTTATATTTTCCTTCATCTTCAAATTTTCAGTATAAAATATAGACTTATTTCTTATAAATAAATTTAAGAATTTCTGTCTTCCATTATTTTCATTATACACTTGTAAATAAATATTTTGGTTGAATATTCTACATCAAGTTATATTGCTTAGCAGTATCATCATCTTCACACAAAATTTAAAATCAAAATTAAATAAAACTCCAACTTTATTTTATAAAATGATACTTTTGTTTTTTTTAAAAAATTAATAACTTTAGTTTATTCCAAAAGGTAGCTATCACAGTAATCATTATTAGAAAAATTAATTGAAGAATTTCAATTAAATTTTGTGAATTTCATCCTATTTGTCTTCTTTAGTATTATAAGCAAAATTTGGCAGATTCCTACATCTCCTCCCCAAAATTCCCATAATTAAAAGGATAATAATTAATTATTTTTTATTAACAAGTAATTATTTTTTTTAAATTATGTTCACTTAGTTTATTTAGAGTTGATGTATTCATTGTTTTACGATAAAATGATTTCTTTATGTTGGGTGATTGAATTGGTTTACCCAAAATGCACAAAGTAGGCATTCTAATGCAGCTCCTTATATCTATAAGTAGAAGTGTTCACCATAGACATAACAAAAATTTTAATACCACTTCTTGAAACCATCATCAAATAGATAAAATTATAAAAATTTTCTGACTCATCACAAACCAGTGTTATTTTGCTTTTAACAATGGTTTTATAAGCAAAAATTTGGATTATTAATGAGATTGCCTTTTAGCAGAGTTTTAGCTTATCTGTTTTGAATTTCTTGAATCTGGTTCTTTCCAAAGTATTTTACCTAAACAATTAATGTGTTTCCAATATATCATGATGCTTTATTAATATATCCTTGTATAACATTACCTGACCTTTGTAGATAAACTAAAAAGGAGTCAAATGTACAACAGAATTTGCTTATAAAACAGAAACAAACAATACATTACCTTTCCTTGATGCCATGTAAAACTGTACTGATAATGACCTAAAACTAAGTGTCTATGACAAATCAACCAATAAAAATGATCTCACTATAACAGCAAAATAAAATCCAGAATAATTATTGGTTTCTATTTAAGATCACTTACAATTTGTAGGCCTCAATATTTACGTGATGAGAAATATATTGAAAATACTTTTAAGTTCTTCCAATATCCTAATTATTTCATATTTAATTTTAAACAAAAAGCTCTCCTAATTTATAAAAATAAAATATTGAATGATATAAATAATTAAAAAGAAACTAGACACATTATAAATTCTACCAGTTCTATCACAACTGCAATTGAAATGAATTTATTGAAACTTGCATAGTAAAAATAGCTTGTAAATGATTAATTTCTAATACTCTTTTAATCTCAATTCTATTTACAAGAAAAATCTTTCTAATCAATCCTTTGAAATGAAAACTCTTTGCTTTATTGCAATATTTTTTATCATTGACTCTTTGTATAAATTTCATTATTATTTATTTTACTCCCATTAAATAACAGATGTTTACATAGTTTCAATAAAAACACTGTTGGACAATTTAAGGAAACTTGAAGCAATTAAATCTTTACAGGTTCTAATCATTATCTAATTTCTTAAATGATAAACTTAAATATAAACTTGTCTAAACATTCTCATATTTATTTTTCAGTCATGCAGATGGGTCGATAAAATTCTGGGATGCATCAGCAGGTATTTATAGATTAAAGATTTATTCATTCTTGAAAATATTTTAGCTTGTTTCTTCTTTGAATGGAGGCACATTTTTTAATCCTTACTGATGATTTGAATTTAATTCTAACTTTAAAATAACTTTATTAAACTATTTTGCTAACATTGTTAGTATCTGTTGATAGATATTTTTTTTGTCTTTTATTAAACTACAGATTTGTGCATGTTGACCTGGCTATAAATGATTGTTAATGTCATTTGGCAAAGTAGTTTTATCAAACTAAATAAGTTAGCTTTGCTTTACTTATTTTTTTATCTCAAAATATTGAAATGTAAAAATCTTTGAATGTTTCTATTTTGTGAAATTGCCTTTTTAAAAATAATCTTTTGCATTTTAAATATCTCACATACATATATGAATGAAACTTTGAATCTTGTGTAAAAATGCAAAGGTTTCATTTGTGCTACTAGAATTTTCTTTTTTTCTGAAATGGTCAGGTAGACCAGTTTTAATTGTAAAAAAAACAATTTGATAATTTTACTATTCTCAATTCATCTAAATTGTAAAAAATTCTTCCATAAATGAAAATTAGAAAAAGTTATTTAGTTTCAAACATTAATTCTTTCTTTCAAAATTTGATATGTAAAGATACCTTTTAAAAAGGTGTTTTTTTTTTTTTTCCAATGTGGAAACATTTGCTACAGCCAACCTCTCCTCCTCATTATTCATTCTCAGATTTAACTAATTGTGTGTGTCCCTCCCCTTTTTTCAGTTACCTTACAGGTTTTATATAAGGTAAAATCTGCCAAGTTATTTGAAAAACCCAAATGCAAAAATTCCGAAGGCACTGATGATGACCCATTTGCTATCCAAATGATTCAGTTATGTCGGGAGAGTCGCATGCTATGTGTGGCTGGGGCTACTCATGTCATGCTCTTCAAGTTCAATAAGCAGGAGTCACAACATGAAGTCATAGTGAGTACTTGTCAATCTATATATTAAAATCATAGTGAGTACTTGTCAATCTATATATTAAAATCATAGTGAGTACTTGTCAATCTATATATTAAAATCATAGTGAGTACTTGTCAATCTACATATTAAAATCATAGTGAGTACTTGTCAATCTACATATTAAAATCATAGTGAGCACTTGTCAATCTACATATTATCATAAACTTGTCAATCTATATATTAAAATCATAGTGAGCACTTGTCAATCTACATATTAAAATCATAGTGAGCACTTGTCAATCTACATATTAAAATCATAGTGAGCACTTGTCAATCTATATATTAAAATCATAGTGAGCACTTGTCAATCTACATATTAAAATCATAGTGAGCACTTGTCAATCTACATATTAAAATCATAGTGAGTACTTGTCAATCTACATATTAAAATCATAGTGAGTACTTGTCAATCTACATACTAAAATCATTTTTAAAATTTTTTTTTTTTTCATTATAATTTTAAAATTGACATCTTGGCAATTAACAACAAAGCTACAAAAGGAAAAAAAAAACTTTTCAAATAGTGGGGTTTTATAATTTCTTTGAAAGACCTATAGTATTAATCTTTATAGTATTCATTCCCAGGTGTATAAATTGCTTATACATGGTGTCTCAAAAAAATGTACACACACTTTTACAGTGTATAGATCAATTCAACTTGCTTTCGTTTTAGACTTACATGTTAGTATTACAAATGTCTTCCAGGCTTAACTTTGGACAAAGAAAATTCATCCTGAAATGCTACTGGAAGTACGAAAATGCAGTTGAAGTTCAAAGTCTGTAGCGAAGAGAGTTTCATTCATATGCACCTACACAGCTTACAATCTCACAAATTAAAGATAAATTTGAAGCTGATGGTACTGTACATGATATGCACAAGAACTGTTGTGGAAAACCACAGATATCAATGACACCCTGTGAAGCAAGAAAGGATGATGGAATGTTTTCATAGAAATCCAAGAAACCTATCGAAATGTTTATTGCTGTTTGTGATTCCATTGCATTGTGTTCTCAGCAATGTCTGGATCAAAACTGACATCAATTTGGAAACATATGATGACAAAATCTTAAGAGCATGCATTTATAATAAATACTATCTTCATATGCCATATTTAAATTAAATATAGTTCTAGTTGCTTGAATTATTTTTTGAGAAAGCTTCAAAATTTGTATACATTTTTTTGAGAGACGCTGTATTTGATATTGAATGTTATGAACTGCAGGAAATAAATCTACCAATAAGTTAACAAAGAAAGAAAAAGAATGGTTAATTGTGAAAAATGATTGATTCTATACTTGTTTGTTCTTTTACTAACATGAGCATGGAAAATGTGGCATGCCTTTAATTTATCAAGAAACAATTATTTTCCCTTTTTAAATGTATTATCTTTTTCTTATTTTTTTAAAATTTCATATTTATTAAATATATTAAGATAACTATCACTTGACATTTTCTTTTTAAAAAATATCATTTTTTGAATGATATTCATAAAAGAGATGCATGTTCATTCACACACACACACACACACACACACAGTATTGAGTGCTGGTGTTAATAAAATAACGCTTGATGTAATATAACAGAGCTAATACGTATATATTAATTATTATACAAATTATCCCTCACTGGTAGCACAACTTGGAGTTTTATGCACAGCACAATCTTCAAGTGTTGGGTAGAAACTGTCTCTGCCCACCACCTGAAGATTACATTCTGGATGAAAATCCGAGTCATGCTAGTTTTGTAGATGAACCTTTTTGTAATTGTTCAGCCCACTTGTCAGGGTGTTTCTGCAATTGGTTGCCGTTTTTCTCATTTTTCGTTATATTACTCCCACTTGCCACATCATCACAGTCTAATTGCAAATGTACTTTATTTAAACTATTTGACAATCAAACTAACTCAAATCACCTTTCTAATTTTTCTACTTGGATTTATTTTTAACAAGTTTTAGCTTACAGCCACATCACATTTTTACACTAGTTCCTATATGATCATTGAAATTAAGCAATGTCAAGCCTGGTTAGTATGTAGATATTGACCACTTGGGAATACCAGGTGCTGTAAGCTTGGATGTGCAGGTGGTGTAATGGATAATGGCTCAGAATTGTTTATCAGAGAGCAGAGTTTCAATTCCAGTTGGGTTCATTATATTCACTTCTATGCATATACCCTTGGGAAAGGTATGAATCTACTTCTCTCCACAGCTACTGCACAACATAATCTTCAGGTGCAGGGGTAGAAACTGTCTGAAGATTGTGTTCTGCTTGAAACCTTGAATTTTGCTAGTTTCATAGATGAAGTAAACCATTATTATCTCGAAAAAGAAAATAAATTCTCACAATCTAAAAATATTTTCTGGCTTTAAATAACCTGCAAAGGGTTGATAAGCTGTAAAAAAAATGAATCATTCAATCAACAAATTTTAGACTTTCTATAGTTCAGCTTTATGCAAAACTATTTAACATTTAAATATTCTCTCTTCATTTTAGATTTAATTTTGAAGCATAATAAAGATAGAATTTCTTTTGATAGCAATATTTATAGCATGATTGGCACAAGTGCATTAAATAGCTGCATTAATTTATTGAACTATTCTACAAGAAATATTTCAAATTGAAAACAAAAATGGAGTTTTTCACCTCTCTAAGTTAAGGTATAATTTACCAAATTCTTGAACAGTTTTCATTTAGTATGACCTCTTTCTTTACCAATAGTTTCTTGTTGGTATATTTCAGATTTACAAATTTTTAATCTTTTTTTTTTTCCCCCCCTCCAACCAGTCACTTGAAATCCAGATTATCTATGAAGTTTATGATGACTTGGACTCTCCAGATTATGAATATCCGAGGCCATTTCTTGGTGCTGTCCATCAACAACAGAGTGGAAGCCTGGGCTCCTATTCCAGCAGTGCATCAGATAGTACCAAGGTACTATTATTTTCTCTTATCTATAAATACATCAACTTCTATTCTGATACAATATTCTCACCTTCTTGTGTTTTCTTTCTACCAGAAAACTACTTAAAATCATAATGCTTAAAAATTTTTTTACACTTATTTTATGCTTTCAGTCAACTTATTCTTAGGTGCCTAATAGACAGTGTATTGGCACTTTTATTTATTTATTTTATTTATTTTTATTTATTTTTTTTTTTTTTGAGGAAATCCTCACCTCCGATTAATTTTCTGACCCACGCATTATATTAATTTCACATTTTTGGATCCTTTAAATGACCCCACCCCCATTAAAACATTTTCCATTCCATTTATTGCATATTGAGAAAAATTTCATGGGCCCCACAATTATTAAGAGCCCTCCTCCTCTTGTATTAGGCACCTCAGGATATCTCTTTGCCTGTCTGTCAGATTACTTTCCACCTACCTATTTTTTTTATTTTTTTATTCAACAATAAGCTGTTAGCAATAATCTACAGGGTGTAACATATTGGTTTTTGGGGATCATTTATAGTAAAGTCATTTACTAAGAAGATTACATTATATTCCAAAAGCCAATTACCAGACTAATCCCAAATATTAATTTATATGTTTCTTAATTTTTACAGTATTAAAATTATCCATATTAGAATTTCTTTCTTCTGATTTCTTTTTTATCAAAAATTTTTTTTTTTTATTAATAAACAAACTTTTTTGATATTTTTGCTCCTTTTTTCTTTTTATTCTTCTTGTCTCAACTGCTCTCTTTATGAAATGTTTTTAGCTATGTTGTTATAAAATTACTGCAAATATTTTTAAAGATTAATATATCCAAATTCTTATTTAAAAAGCTCTTAAATGATGAATGAATGAATGCCTTAGTTTTAAGTGCAGTGAAATTTGAAATGTGTACAAGTTTCTTTTACTAGTTTTGTAAGGTAAACTGCTAACAGATTATTTTCTAAGAGTGGATTTTTTAAAGTTAAAATCTAGAATTGTTTGTAATTTGATTGATAAGTTAAAATGTACTTTCAAGCTGGTATTTATGATAAATAGAAATTAACTTTAGTTATTGGCTTAATAAAACTTGGCAGTTTATTTTATTTTAAGAACGTTTATAGGATTAACTTTATTTTTACTTTAATGTTCTGGTAAAAATATGAATAAATTTTCTTGACACCTTGATTGGACAATATTTAACAAACTTATCTAAACTATTTTGAACTTTGAATAGCAAGAAATTAGCAATGTAAATAGAAATTTATGTCTGATTCTAGAAATTTAAGTATTTTAATTTTTTGTTGTTTTTTGGTGTGTTTTTTACTGAGATTTAAATGAATCCATTTTATTTTTTTTTCTCACCTTCTCTTCTATTTCTGTATTTCAAAAATAATTTTTCATAATTTGTGTCTGTGGCTATTGTATATCCAGTTATTTTCATAGACATTAATTTCCAAAAAATTCTCCAGGCTAATGTAAAGATTCTTGTGATGTATCTTAAAAAAAAAAAAAAGATAGCATAATTGCAATTATCTGGTCAATTGTCAAAACTCTACCTCTGTTTCTCAACCTTTTTAAGCAATGGCACACATGAAAATATCACAGCACACTTAGCTAAATTTTTAAAGGCTATACATTTTTATGTTATGAAATAAAACCATAGATTAAAAAAAAATACACACACAAATACAAACTTAATTTATTTCAATGTTTCTATTAAACTATTTGTGCAGTTTATTTAGTGTGAAACCTGTGCCTAGTATTTTTTCACAATGTTTTTCAATGTTTGGTCAATTGTGTGATAAGCAGACACTCATTTTTCCTTCAATTGAGTGTAGTCTTTCTTGCTTCTTATTTTTTGTTATTTAAGGTTGCAAAACCTAATTCACATAAATATGAAATAAAAAACTGCAATAAAACTGATAACACCTTTTTAGCTAATGTGGGATAAAAAGTTTAACATGTATTCATTTATTCATATACTAACACTGTACAATTACCACTTACACACACACACACACACACACACATATATATACACATATATATATATATATATATATATATATATATATATATATGCCCTGACAATATTTTGTGGCATGGCAGTTGAGAATCACTGATTTACCTTAACAGCAAAATGATGTTTTTATTTATCTATTAATTGTTTAAGAGCTGTGTACCCTTACTCAAGTTTTAAGTTTGACTTAAGTGTATCAATTAAAATGTTTGCCTGTGAAGTCCATCCTTTTAATTTTCATTCTAGAATTTCTTAACTTATTATATTTAAACTGCACTTTTCAGACTCAATGGTTAAGCATCTTGTCTATTTCTTCTGATACGAATTGATGATAGCAGAATCAATACTCTGAGTATTTAATCTCATGGCGACTTGTGTCAACTTTATCTCTAATCTTCTTAGTGTTCTTTGTCATTCTCTCTCTTCCTCTCCCTCTTAAATTCTAGTCATGACTTGAATAGTTTTAAAGCTTCTTCCCTAGCTACTTCAACTTAGTTTTCTTGGTTAGATTGACTGAATCCTCTATTAGAATATTGGAATTTCTTCAATGAGAACAAGCATCTTTTCATAAGAAAATTGGCTGATTTGCTACCATAAAATTTTCATTAATCAATTGGCTGATCTTCCATTGTTTGCTTTTTTCCCTAGCCATCCCTATCTAGAGATTTTGGGTTTTAATTTTTCAACCTATTGGATTTTCTATGTACAGAAGCAAATTCAATAAAAGTGTGTGTTCGATATCATGTGGTCTTACTTCTAAATATTGGTGGAAAATTTTGTAAATGTTGGTATTCCTGTGTGGAATGATTTAAAAAATAAAATCACATTTAACATTTCAATGCTATTGAAAGACAGTTTTATAATTTTCTATCTTTTGTCTTTTTGAAAAAGATCTTTATCAAACATTGGAAAAGATAGTTCACTATTTTAGGAAATTATTTTTTACTTTCTACTCATATTTTGTACCTTAAGTAATAAGGTTTGAGTTATTTCACATTAAATATTTAAAGTAACATTTATTTAGAGTCCATGATATGACAGTATCTCTTGCTTGTATATGTTTTTGTTTTATAATCTCCATTTTATAAACTTGTACTTCTAGTTTTTTTATTTTATGTAAGTATTAGATACTTTTCTTGCCTTTTTTAACAGATGGAGGTAGCATTTTTTTTTTCTGAAAATAGATGACCATTTTTTTATTTTCACTTTGGAGAATAGTTTACAAAGCAAATTAAAACTTCTCTTTAAGTGAATAAAGTAAAAAAGAATTACATGAATTTACATTTTTATTTTTCCTTTCTTTTGAGTGATATTAGTTTCAAGCCAAGCTTATTATAGTCTAAAGTTTATATACAGTTCCTATTAAATAGAATTTTTATAATAGCATTATATAATCTCATTTTAAGTATTGAAGAGATTGGATACATCAGTGTCAAAAAAATATTGACTGTAGAAAAAATTGAATGACTAATGATAACTGAAAGGAAACAATAGCTTTGACTTGGCCAAATTGGTTTTTTATCATTTCTATCCTAAAGATTTTGTATTACAGGAATAGTAAATTACCAATGCTTAATAACAATTGACTAATTAGATACTATTCACTTAATGCATATTTTACAATAAAGATTCTGTGTTCATTACTACCTTGTGTGTGTTCCCCAGTATTGTTTTAGTTTGGTTTGTATTTGTAAATGATATATTATAATGCACATAGTTATTTATTCTATGTATTATGATTTTTGTTATCTGATTAAAAGTTCTTTTGTGGTGGTTTGAAATAAATTTATTTCTCTTTGAAAAGGGGCTCGTATTCACCAATCTTCTACTCTAGAACAAAAGCCTTTACCCTATTAACCAGCAATATCTGCAAATTGTTGAATACATAAAAATGTTTTTTAAATGAAAATATGCAAATTTATCATTTGTATTTGAAAATAGCTCAGTGTTAGAGCTAAAACAAATAATTTAGGGACCAGATGATTCATTCCAGGTACCAGTTAAGCAAAATTCTTTACCATAAATTCTTTAGAATGAAAATCTATTTAAAAACTGTTACATAAATAAGGGATTTTTTTTATCTCTTCCATGCAAAATTTAAAATATCAACATTATATTGATGATATGAGATGCTATCAAAAATTTTAAATGTTGCAGCCATCTTTTGTATTTTGAGTCCACTTTTGAACAGCATATTTTCTAATCATCTTCAGTATTATGACATGCTATCCCCCCCCATATAAATTCAAAATTCAGTCCAGTTTGGAATAGAAATGGAGGTATTGACTGGAACATTGTTACCTAATCATAACAACAACAACAAAAAGAGACAAAAGAAAGTGTAAGAATGTAAATAAACTTACAACAGTAATTTAAAACTCTTCTATTAGAATAACTTTTTAAAATTTCTTTTAAATTGTTTATTAATATTTATCTGGTAAGTATTTACTGGTTCTGCTTTGACACAAAGAAAAAGCATCTTTAATATCTGAAACCACTCACTTGGTGTATAAGTTGATCTTTGCTTTTCAAAAGTTTGTAAATCTAAAATGAAATGATCCTCATTCACAAGAAAATATATTTAACATAGTGAATAACTTTTGTTTTAGATTCACTTGTTTGTGTTTGACTTTTATTCTCTCATTTGATTCTAACTTTGTTAGACCATCTGAACCTAAATTCTTGGTTAGTTGTTACATAAATTTACATTTTTCTCAAAATTACCCCTTTTCAAAATATATTTTTAAAACTTATTTCTATATCAAATAATTTGCAGCTTTAAGAGCATGAGAGATAAATTGGTCATGTTTTCTTTTTATTAAGAAAGAAGGAAAGTTAAACTTTGTGTTCAAAGCTAAGCTCTTCATATGAATTCTTTTAAAGAATGGATATTTGGCTTTTTATGTGTTCTTTTTTTTTCTTTTAATATTTAAGTGAACAAAATATTTTGTCTATTTTTTTCTCTCTTGCTACA